GTGGTGTGTGTATGTGTATGAGATGGCCTCTCTCTATGGGAACAATGCTAAGCTTGTGGCCATCGCTGACATGACCTTCCCTGTGCTTTCTCTGCTGTCCCAGCCTATGGTCTGGCCGGACTTGAGGAGCATAGATAGACAGGGCATCCTAAAGCCTTGGCTTCCCCGCCCCAGGTCTCCCGCCTCGCCCTGTCAGGCCTCCGCAACTGGACGACCGCAGCTTCACCCAGCGCAGTCTTTGCCGCCCGCCACTTCCGGCCCTTCCTGCCCCCTCCAGGTCAGGAGCTGGGCCAGCCCTGGTGGATCATCCCTGGCGAGCTGAGCGTCTTCACAGGCTATTTGTCCAACAACCGCTTCTACCCACCGCCGCCCAAGGGCAAGGAGGTAATGGCAGCATGGGGAGTGGCCGCCTGGCTCCGGCTCAGGAGTAGCCCTTCCTGTCTGAACCTGGACCTGGGCACCAGGCATCCCTCCCCCTCAGGCTCCCTCCCTCCGGGTCTTCAGGTCCGGAGCTGACCCTTGGCTTAGAGATCCAGGCCCCAGGGCCCAACAAGCCAGCTAGGGTCTCACTGCTGTCCCTAGGTCATCATCCACCGGCTGCTGAGTATGTTTCACCCGCGCCCCTTCGTGAAGACGCGCTTTGCCCCTCAGGGCACCGTGGCCTGCCTGACTGCCATCAGCGACTCCTACTACACAGTGATGTTCCGGTGAGTGTCGAAATGCTTGGAAGCGAGGGAGGCCAAGCCAGAGGCGCCCAACTTTACCACCTCCCTCCCTGCTGGGCTTGGGCTCTCTGAGTCCCAGGGGCATAAAGACTTCCAAGGAGGGTACACGGTTTGGTAAGAGGTACCTGGAACTTGCTTAGCCCTGACCTGGACCTCACATAGCCATGCACGCGCACATACACACACACACACACACACACACACAGGCGCACCCTGGAACATCAGGGCTTCCAAGGAAGGCAGCACAGAGACTGAGCCTTCAAGGGTAGTGGCATTTGGAGGATCTCCTGCTTTCTCCCTCTCCCTGACTCCACAGGAGCCTGGCCTAGGCTCCCTAGGCTCTGGGTGAGATTGGGGAGGGGTCCAGGTTTAGCAAACCCCGTTCCCCACAGGATCCATGCCGAGTTCCAGCTCAGCGAGCCTCCTGACTTCCCCTTCTGGTTCTCGCCGGGCCAGTTCACCGGCCATATCATCCTATCCAAGGATGCTGCGCACATCCGTGACTTCCGGCTGTTCGTGCCCAATCACAGGTAGGAGCTGGCCCTGGCACAGCCTCAGCACCCTGCTACCGCATGCTGCTGCTGCTAAGTTCCCTGAGCTCAGCCATTAAGGGGCCCTTCCGTCTCTGCCCTTTCCCTCGCTCCCCAGCGCCCCGGCTTGGGAGGGTCTTGTTGCTAAATGGTCCCACCATCTTCTCACCAATATCTCCAGACTCTCCCCCACCTCTGTGGGAGCACAGCACAGTTTGCAGAGCCAAGTCTCCAGGGCCCATCAAGCCAGCTAGGGTCTTCATTGTTGTCCCACAGCCGCCAGCAAACGGAAACTGGTGTGGCTTGTCCTCCTAAGATAGCCTAGGTAGACATGACCCTAGCCTATTCAAGCCGCACAGCGGCAGGGCCCACTGGGCGTCCAGGGAGGCTTCCCAGAGGAGGTGACATCTCGTCAAAGTCCTTGGGGAGCGAAGGAAGTAGTGCAGGTAAGGGCTTAAGGGAAGACAATCACCACAGGGCCTTGGTGGGACTTCTAGGACCACCCTTATGCCGTTATTTCCTGTTCCGGGTCAGCCCCCTCAGGAGATCGGGGGACCAAGGAGGTGGTGGGGGTGGGAGTGGATTCAAGAAAGTCTTTCCTGATAGCAAGTGGACCCACGAGAGTCTTGTACAAGAACTGGGAATCCTGAGGCCCCAGTTCAAAACTTGCTCTTGGTAGCAATGGGCTGTCTGGCTGTGAGCAAGGCCTGCAGTTTCCTTGCCTTCTAGGTAGACTTTTTCACCCGTGGGCAGGGATAACAATGGGTGGGAGAGCCTGAACCCACTAAGAGTGTTCTCTCTCCCTCCCTAGAGAGGCAGGGCAGAGACATGGTGGTGCACCTGCCCTCCTGAGTTTAAACAAGTGCTAGGGCGGAAGCTGGCCTCCGTGTATCTGCTTCAGGGTCCTGGACTGAATAACAACAGTGGGTAGACCAGCCAGGATCTGCTGCTTCTGTGCCCATCTAAGAACTAGGCCATAGAACAGCTCAGAGGGTAGTCAGTCACGTGCAGAGACTATTGTTTGGCGGTCCTGGGGCGCCCCCGTGTGACAGACGTTCAGATTGCACCGACCCAGCCAGACTTCTGCTGCCTCATCCTGTGTCCTCCAGGGAGGCACTGACTGCCTCTCTGCCAAAAAAGGGTCACGAGCAGTATGCGGTTCATGCTATGAGAGCCCTCATGCGCGATAGTTAGACCTGGCCCAGGCTCTGCTGTCAGAACTCCAGTGACACCTCTGGGGTCTGTGTCTGCAACCGCTTGCATTAAACCCCCCGGTTGGCACCAGTGTGACTAATGGGCTCCGGTGGTGATGCTCTTTTACCCTGGCCATCCCCAGGTCCCTGAATGTGGACATGGAGTGGCTGTATGGGGCCAGTGAGACCAGCAACATGGAGGTGGACATTGGCTACGTACCACAGGTGACCACTCAGGGGCCCCTACTCGGATCTGTTCAGCTGTAAGGCCTTGCCCTGAGCCCCGTCTCCCCACTTCTGCAGAGCAGACCTGAAGGTTTCTCAGGGCCCCGCTCTGAGACACCCCTCACCACTGACTTCCGGCCCAGATGGAGCTGGAAGCTACAGGTCCCTCGGTGCCCTCCGTGATCCTGGATGAGGATGGAAACATGATTGACAGCCGTCTGCCCTCGGGAGAGCCCCTCCAGTTTGTGTTTGAAGAGATCAGGTGGCACCAGGAGCTGAGCTGGGAGGAGGCTGCCCGGCGCCTGGAGGTGGCCATGTACCCCTTCAAGAAGGTGAGGCTGGGCATGGAGGCCAGGGTAGGGCTCCCCGAGGCTGAGGCTGGGAGCTCTGGTCTAGTTATGGGCAGTGTGCAGAAACATTGGGCACAGGGCCAGCTTGGGGCACGGCACTCCCGTCTGTTAGTCTAAACTTGGAGAAGGGTCACGTGACTCAATCAGGCCCCTTTTCTCTCTCTCTCTCTCTCTCTCTCTCTCTCTCACACACACACACACACACACACACACACACTCAGTATCATCTGTCTTGGTTTGACCACAGGTGAACTACCTGCCGTTCACGGAGGCCTTTGACAGAGCCAAGGCCGAAAACAAACTTGTGCATTCCATCTTGCTGTGGGGGGCCCTGGACGACCAGTCCTGCTGAGGTGAGGGAGCCCCTGGTCAGTTCTAAGGGGAAGTGGGGTACTCCACACCCTATGGATGAGGCACAAGAGGACTTGGAGCCGTGAAGGCTTGTGCCACCTAGGAAAGGGGTCCCAGGGAAGCTTGCGCTGAGCGTAGAAGGCAATGCCAAGTACAGAAAACAGGCCCGGCAGGTGTGCACGTGTTTGACCAAGTTTATCGAGCAGCTTCCCTCCCTGAGCTCATTAAGGGCAGAGCGACTCCTCAGTCATGACACTGGGCATCAGCGTATCTTGAACTCTGTGAAATAGAATCTACAAGTGAGAGGGAAAACAGTGTCTGTACTGTTTCTTATCCATAATGTTGACCAGAGACCTGGACAGCTCTCTCGGTGTCCGAAGTGAGAAAAACAATGTCCCTGCCATCATCTGGTCACTCAGCAAACACTGTGGGACCTGCTGCAGTCACGCAGTCTCCCAGAGTGGTGTGGGCACGCATGTGGAGCAGGTAATCGGAGGGCAGCGTCATACAACACACACACACACACATCACATACATACATACATACAGCGGAGTAACAGAAATGAAGCTCAGGCAGTTGGAAGGCTTCTTAGAGAAAGTGATATTTAAACTGAGACTTTGAGAGACGAGTAGGGGTTTGTCCCATGACAGGAGGAAGAGGGTTTTGGGTAGAAAGTGCCTGTGTAAAGGGCCTAGAGACAGAGTAACAAGTTGGATTAAGAATTGGTCACTGGCCAGGTGGTGGTGGCGCACACCTTTAATCCCAGTGCTCAGGAGGCAGAGGCAGGCGGATCTCTGAGTTCAAAGCCAGCCTGGTCTACAGAGTGAATTCCAGGACAGCCAGCACAATACAAAATAAACCCTGTCTCAAAAACAAACAAACAAACAGAAGAATCGGTCACTATTAACAAGCTCTGGGCCAGGGACTGGAGAGATGGCTGAGAGGTTAAGAGCACTGACTGTTCTTCCAAAAGTCCTGAGTTCAATTCCCAGCAACCACACTGTGGCTCACAGCCATCTATAATGGGATCCTGTGCCCTCTTCTGGTGTGCAGGCGTACATGCAGGCAGAATAATATATAAATAATAAATAAATCTTAAAATAAAAAAAACAAGCTCTGGCCCACCCCTGGCCTCAGCTCAGGAGGCCAGTGTGTTCTTGCTGATCCCACAACACCTACTCCTTGAGAGTCTGTTTCTTGGCTTTTCATTATTTATGTCATTTCTTGAGACAGGCTCTCACTAGCTCAGGCTAGCCTATAACTCACCTATCATGTAGCCCATGGAGCTGTCCTTGACTTCATGACAACCTCCTGTCTCAGCCTCCTGAGTGCTGGGATACTGGTGTCTGGCCTGCTGTTTCACCTGGGCGTGGAGACATTTTGCAACCCGAGGGGTTTAACCCAAACTGAGATCATTTGCTGTAAAATCGGGGCTACTCATCCTTGGCCCTGCCCTCAACAGGTTCGGGGCGGACTCTCCGGGAGACTGTCCTGGAAAGCCCGCCCATCCTCACGCTCCTCAATGAGAGCTTCATCAGTACCTGGTCCCTGGTAAAGGAGCTGGAAGACCTGCAGGTGAGCAGAGGGTCAGGGAGAGCGGCCTGTGGGAGTCCCTAAGACAGTGCTGGGCCCGGATACCAGGAGGTGCCATTGTGCCCACAGGCCCAGCAGGAGAACCCACTCCACAGGCAGCTGGCCGGCCTGCATCTGGAGAAGTACAGCTTCCCTGTGGAGATGATGATCTGCTTGCCCAACGGCACTGTGGTAGGTCCCCAGCGACAGTGGGTGGCAGGCCGGGACATGGGGGTGGGAGGAAGAGACCACTCTTCCTGAGCTCATCTCAGCTGGTCTGAGGCTGTCCTCATCTCCATTACTGGCCTAGCGACCCTGAGCAGACCTCAGAGGTGCTTTGGGCACAGTACAGCAAGGCACATAGTAACAACAGAGTCCACATGTCCCCAAGGGAGGACTCCCTGGACCACTGTGGCCAGAGAAGAAGGGTAGAGGACCTGGCTCGAGCTGAGGTTCCAGATCCCCGCCTCCCTCCCTGCGAGCTACTCAGAGGGCCTGGCATCGGGTCACAACAGCTTTGGAAATGTGCCCATTTTCAGAGCAGTAGAGTGAGGCTCCAACTCTGAGCAGCTTTCCCATCTTCAGTTTCAGTGTGGCCAGAAGGGGAGAGCAGGGCTATCGGGGGGGACGTTGGGGGGGGTGGGGGGAGGGTGAATTGGCCAGCTTTTAGGGGCGGTAGCCAGGAGCAGGAAGCTGGTGCTAGGCGGAGAGGGAAGGACAGCTGTGTTTGAGGCCTTTGCTGGTCCAGGGGAAGGTGAGAAAAGGTCCTGGAAGTACTGGGGAGCCAGGGAGGAAAGGCCTGGAGGGATAGTCGGTCGGTTCACGGTTACCGGCTCCTACCTTGTGGAGCTTGCCCTGAGGTCACTGTCTGGCGTGCTTCTCACCTCTGTCACTTGGTTTCCTCACCTGTGCCTCGCCTGCTTGTTCCTCACTGCGTGCCCACTCCACCAAGCTCCACAGAAGGGTGAGGACACAGTGGCGTTCTGGCCGGAGTAGACAGGAGCTAAGGATGCTCCCTGAGCACTGGGCATTTGGATAGGCGTTCAGGGACCATGAGGACAGGCAAGAGAAAGGCCGTTTGTGAGGCAGAGGGGTAGAGGAAGAGGTGGCAGTGAAAAGCAGGGATTTTTGCTTAGTGGGTGCGGAGGGCACACCCACAGTAGACAGTTACACGGGAGCAGCCTGGCCTGGGCAGCTCCAGCCAGCGCACCCTTGGCGTGAGAGCCTGTCTGTCCTCACCCCGGAGTGAAGCTGGTGGAGGCCGAGGTGGCCTCCCCAGTTCTCACCAGTCCTTCCCGTAGGTCCACCACATCAACGCCAACTACTTCCTGGACATCACCTCCATGAAGCCTGAAGACAAGGAGAACAACGTCTTCAGCTTCTCGTCGACCTTTGAGGACCCATCCACGGCCACTTACCTGCAGTTCCTGAGGGAGGGGCTCCGGCGTGGCCTGCCCCTCCTCCAGCCCTAGTGTGCCTAGAGTCCTGGAGAAACGGGACGTGGTGAAAACCTGGCAGACGGAATCCATACACCGAGGAGGAGCCATAGTGCCCTCTGCCCATTTCAGACTGGAAGTGGTCCCCACCTCATTCCCAGGCTGCCTAGAGAGGTCCAAGGTCACTTGAGGCTGCCACCTTCCCTCAGCCTGAACGATGGCGGATAAATAAGCAGGCCTGCCTGGCTTATCACGTCAGTGAGGTCAGTGAGCCAAAAGCCTGCTACCACTGTAAGCTCTTCCCTACTCACCTGGCTCCAAATGCTTCCTTAAGCTCCCCCCACCCCCCAGACAGGGTCTGGGTGACCTCCCTGGACCTTTCACAGTGATCTATTTCAGTGCCTCAGTGTGAATGAGTGGGGAAAGACAGACTGCCTCTTCCTTCTTGGTTCCTCTTTCAAGCCAAAGGAATCAAAGAGCTTGGCCCAGGGGCCGGGATGCCAGCCAGCCCTATGGCCCTTTGGAGCCTTCTATCCTGCCATCCCCCAGGCAGCCTTCTGTGCCCAGTACCCTGGCTGGGGTCATTGGCAGCTGGAGACACAGCTGGAGCCGGTGCACAGAGTCCTTCTGCCACGGTTGAGGCCGTACTGCTGCCCTGCAGAGCATTGCCAGCTTGCCCGAGCCCAGGCCTGTCTGTGGTGGTGAAGTTCACTGTGAAGTAGGTGCAGTGGGGTTCTAAGAGGGAGTGGGGGGAGAGGAGGTTCTTGCCGCCTGCCCTAAGCACAAGTTCATGGCAGGACTGCTGGAGCCAGCGTCCCCAGGACAACACAGCCTTTCCTACAGCCAGCACCGTTTGGGCCCCGGGATACTCCACAGCAGCTCCCTCACCACTGGGCCACCACCTCGGCTACTTTTGGGGCTTGGTCCACATCTTGAACCGCTGACCATGCCAGTCTTTTTTATGCACACAGGACAGTGTTTTTATATGAACTTTCTCACACTTTATAATATTTTTTTAAAAATCTGAACGCTGAGGAGAAAGAAGGGGGCAGTGGCTTCCCCCAGCAGCAGCCGCATGATGGCTGGTTCTGAAATCTCAAATGGATCCAGCCTGATTTCCTTGCTGTTACACACAGGGGGGGAAATATGCCCACCTTCCTTCTCTTCCAGCCTTTTACAAGCAGCCCTCTGAGGATCGGGACTTCCCCAGCTCTGTCCTGTGCTCCACATTCCCAAGAACGGCCTTGAACTTAACCCCATCAAGGCCTTGATGTCAGCCAGTTCCCCAGGAGCCAGCTCTCTCCCCTGGCCCCACTAGGGCCTCAGTCTTCAGAGGAAAGCAGGTGGACTTTCCCTGAGCCCTGCCTACTCCCCTGCCTGCCTCTGGAGACTCCACATGGAACCCACCTCAGTCTCTAGGGGCGCTCTGTGAAGATCACACACATTTTCTCAGTTCTTACAACAAAGTTGGAAAATTGCCTCGTTTTTCAGATACAGACACATAGGGAAACACAGTGACTTCCCAGGGTCACTCAGAGGACTAGAGTTGCGATCCACATGACCCCAAAGGCTATGTCTTGGTTTGTTGTTTTGTTTGGGGGTGCTTTGTCTGGTACAGTACCCTGCTCATTTCCCCCTGTGGTGGGAAGGAAGCCAAATCATCACGTCTCCTTATCCTACTGAATAGATGAGGTGTCAGTACAGCAGCTCTGCCAAATTCTCTGTCCTGGGAGGCAGTTTTTTCATAAGCCCCATAGAGACGGGGCGCCCGAGAGCTTTGCAGTGCCTCTGCCATCTTGAGGCACGGTGCATGTGCCACCCAGCCTCCGAGGGGCCCAGAGTGGACTCCACACTGAACAGCCCTGCTCCTATGTAAGGTGCTGATTGCCGGGGCTCTCTGATCCTCATCCGATGTCTCTGCACACCCCCAGCTGCCATTTGTCCCCTGTCCCCAGCACGTCCTGTAATAAAACCAGAGAGTCTGAAGTAGCTTGCTGTTTTTCCTTTGAGCAGGATGTTTGGGTTCGTTCTTCCGCTGTCCGACTGCTGCCCCTGTTGGGAGATGGGCAAGAAATGCATTTTGAGCTGCAAGGTCTCTGGAGCCTTGTCTGTCAGCAGAGGGCTTGAGTGACTTGTCTAAAGTAAGTTTGTAACAGATAGGATAAAAGACTGGAGAATCCTGGCCTTAAACCCATTGTCTTAGAAGCCACCCATATGACAGGCCTTAGGTAATTAGGGAGGAAATAACCCCTACAGGTGGTAGGATAGCTCACTGGGTAAAGGTGCTTGCTACCAAGGCAACGCAAATTCTGTCCAGAACTCCACTTGACAGAACCAATTCCTAGTTGTCTTTTGACCTGCTTGTGGGCACCATAGCACACATGGCGGAGGGGGTAAGGAGGAGGGAAGCCTTTAAAAGAAGGGTTGAGTGAGACAGGAAGACGTGCTGAGCCAGAGTGTCAGCCCACCCTTCCGCAGGAGGGCTCTCGGAAGCAGACCACTCTGCAGAGCCAGACCAGCCCTTTTTGTACCTTTGTCACTTCTGACAGGGGAAGCAGAGTCAGTCTCCAGGTTAAGGTTTGTTTACAACCACTTACATCTTTATGGGACCAGTGCAAAAAGTGCAAGGAAAGTGTAAAAAACATTTAAATGGTCAGGTGCTACGCAGTGTGGCTTTGTCACTGGTAGCCTGTGTCTCTGACAGTGATAGCCTACAATCATAAAGGAGCTGAGAAGTTCCTGCTCTCTACAACTTGTATGATGCCCTGTCTGTGTTTACAAATAAGTGTCTAGTTGTGATAACTGCCCTGGGGTTCAGCACAGTAGCAGCTGTGCGGGTTTGTAGCCTGGAGCAATGGGCTACGCCAATCCCCCAGGCCTGGAGTATACTACATTATGTAGGCGTGTGTAAGTACACTCACTCTCTAATGTTTATATAACTCAGTCACCTAAGGACACGCTTCTCTGAGAGTACCCGTTCTTCAGCAACATGGCACTGCAATTTCAACAGGACAATAGAGAAAGAAAGCGTGTATGGGCGTAGTACGGCAGGTCTGGGCGTAGTGCCCGTTGTGGCTGTGTAGGGCTATCCACCCACGAATCCAACAGATTTGTCCCTGGCAGGTGGGGGCTGCAGGCTTTGGGACAGGGGAATGCACCTGGTGGGTTAGGTAATGCCATGTGCTTGGGCAGAGAGGGAGTGTGTGTCCATGGAGACTAGCAGAGTGAGCTTGAGAGCTTGAGTCTCCCAGTGTCACCAATCCACCCATCTAATCAGCAAACTGAATTACACTGCACGCGTGTGTATGCAGGTAAGCACGTGTGAGAGAAGGGGCGTTCAAACAGACGGAAGCTGCTCCCGAAGCTGGAGGGCACGCCTCAAAGGCGAAAGCATCCATTCTTGCGGGGGGTAGGGGTGGGGGGGCGTGTCTGGGAAGCACGAAATGGGACGAGTCCAGACTAGACAGAAAGGGCTGAAATGCCAAGACGAGGATTCGGAGTCTTGCGGTAGGAGTGGGGACAGCAGGGGTGGGGACAGCATCCACCATTTCAGGTGCTGAGCAGCGGCCCAGGCGGACCAGCGCCTTCCAGAAGTTTGTTGACACCAAACGCAGGAAGCAACAAGAAAGGGAAAGTTCAGCAGCTGGAAGGGCCCGGGCCGGGGGCGTGGCCTGCAGGGGGTGTGGCCTCTGACGACACGCGGTCCACTCAGAGCCCGCGTCCGCCCCCTGTTGGGCCCGCCTCTCCCGGGAGCGTGGCTCGCCGCGCAGCCGCAAACGACTGCTTCCGGAGGCGGGCGAGCGGAAGTGAGGACGCTCGGGGCTCGGCCGCCCGCTGTGGTAGGAGGGGCTGAGGTGAGTCCGGGAGCTGGAGTCAGAGGTGAGCGCGGGGTACCGCAGGAGGCGGGCGCGGTGGGCGCCCCGGTCCCGGCGCAGGGGGAGGGCGCGATTCCCTGCGCCCGCGCAGCTTCTGGCGGGCGGCGCCGCTGTCCGCCCCCCTCGGCGGGCTCACTAGCCCTGGGGTGGAGTTGCTGGCCGGCGCGGCCCGCGGTTGGGGTCGACCCAGCCGTTGGAGTGCGGTGCCAGGCTTCGCGCCCGGGCCGCGCGGCCTTTCTGAGACCTACGCCGGCCTGGCGGCCCCAGCGCGCTCGACCCGGCGCGAGGGTCCAAGGGCCGCTGCACTTGAGCTGAGGACTTGGCCGACCTTGGCTCGGGCCGGGGCGCGGGGGCGGGGGCGCGTCGCTGAGCGCGCAAGGTGCTGCGGCCGGGTGGCCGCTTGCGCTCCGCGGGTCCCTCGCGCACTCCGCCTGGCCGTCCGCTGGGCAAAGTTTCTCCCGGGCCTAGGACCCCCGGGTCGGGGCCCTTCTCGGAGCAGAGCGGGTCTGCCGAGAGACCGCGCGTAAAGACGCGTGCACGGCCACCGCGGAAGGGGCTACGGCGGCGCCAAGGTGCGAAGACCCTGGTCTGCGGAACAGGCGAGAGCGTCTAGCGGGCACGCGGGGGGCGGGGCCTCGAAGCTAAGTTAGTGTCGCCTACAGCGGTTTCTTACAAGAAGACTGTGCGCTTCCGGTGCCCGACAGAGGCCGGGCTGTGGCCCGATTGGTTACTTGGTTTCTGTCTTGAGCAGCCTTGGAAGGCGATCCAGGCTGCTACGGAGTGGACTGAGGACCCAAGCTGCCAGGGACGGCGTGATGGATGAGCAGAGTGCTGAGGGCCTGGGATGAGCCGGACGAGGAAGGGTTCTGTTGGGTCCCACAGAGGCAGTGGTACAGACTGGGGCTCAGAGGGGGCGTATTGGGAACTGATAGCCCGGTAGCAGCATGGCCCACAGCAGAGGACTAAGGAGAAGGTATGGCCGCAAAATGTGCAGTTGCCAAACAGTGCCAGAAGTTTGTCTGGAGAGAGCTGGAAGATGGGGTCCGGCTACTAGGTAGGCTCTGCTGGAGTCTAGGAGAGTGGAAAGATTGATACACCAGAGCAGCAGAATGAGCAGCTTGTTAAAATCTGCCATCACCTGAGGGATCGGCTGGAGTCTCTGGAGATGAAGACAGATGATGTAATGACAGGTAGCACAGTTAACGGCATTCAGCAAGAAGTCTGGCTACAGGGACCTTGTAGGCTTGAATAGGGCTGCACATAGCCGATTTCTGGCGCTGTCCACTGAACAGCCACGGAATGAAAGATGCTTTCCTCTCTCCCTGTGTATCATAAGATGATAACTCTCTAAGGAAGAAGAGGAACTCCTGCCCTCCCTTATGAGGGTGCTGCCCATCCAGTTGAGCACCTCCCTGTTAAGAAGCAGACCTGGGTTCCCCAGTGACTTCTCTCCCAGACACTGCAAGCCCTTATTACCAGACCCCTGTTCTGCCTTTTGTAATCCTCCTTTTTTTAATAGTTTGTTTTTTATGTATATTGGTGTTTTGCTTACATGGATATCTGTGGGTGTCAGACCTTGGAATTACAGTGAGCTGCTATGTGGGTGCTGGGTCCTTTGAAAAAACAGACAGTACTCTTAACCACTGAGCCATCTCTCCAGTTCTACTCTGTATTCTTTACAAGTCCCTTAAAAGCATAACTTTCTGATTCTTCTCAGCATGTCTACAGTGCTCAGCACAGGGCCTGGATTAGTGGGTATCCTTGTGTTTGATGGACATAAAAAGCTCATTGGTTGAACCTCCATGCCAGGGTAGCTCTGACAAGTGCAGTCAGGAGTATTGCTTTAACCTTATAAATGAATTTTTAAAATTTGGGAGTAACTGCCTTACTTTAAATTTTGTTAAGCACTTCACCCACCCAATTTCACTGCCCTCTGGGTAGCCTAGAAATGGCAGCTTTTCCTTTTCCCATTTACCAATGAAGAAAGCAACATCCAGAAGCATTACTAGGCACAGTCATAGAGTAAGCCAAAATTTAAAAAGAAACAAAAAAAGCCTTCGGGGCTGGAGGTGTGGTTCTGTGACAGACGGTTTGCAGTTGGGTGTGGGGCGCTGCATAACCACCACTTACAGCTTTTCCACATAGCCAGTAGACTGAAATTAGCAGGAGTTGGCTGTTAATTCTTACCCACTTGCATTTTCAAGAAGAAATGCTTAGGCTTGGGTGCTGTCCTTGGTTTTGCTCTCCTTTGAGCCTTTAACTACCAAAAGTTTCTGTCTGCATCTTGGAGGCTTTGCCTCATCTAACTTTAGTTTCCTCATTGGTCAAGTTTTCTCAGCAAGTCTGAAACATAGCCTGTAAGGATCTGGGTTTAGAAAAGCCAATGACAGTAAGGGCAGGCTGCTTTTCTTCCTTTACACACTAGAGGTGCTGGTTTCAGTCATGGCTCTGCAGAGCCTTGTTCTGTGGCCACTGAGTCCCTCCTCTCCGGGGGTTGTTTCACAGGAAAGGAAATATCATGCTCCTGGAAATGGCCTGATATGAAGGAGTCATACCTCCAGCTTTCCCAAGCTGCCCGGTGGGTGCCTTGTCCTTCAAGTGCAGGAGCTGGCTGAAATATCAGGAATGGAAGCCAATGTGGTAAGGAGTCCAAAGGTAGGGGGCTGAATACTGTACTTGCTTAAGAACCGTACAAGGCCCTGAGACGCCAGTTCATTTTGACTTTTTGCTGAAGCCATGGAATTTGAGCAGGGCTGTCATCCTGCTTCCTTTTTGGAGTCCATGTTTTTTACCTTTTTGTACAGAGGAACCAGAACCGTCTGTACAGCTTATTGTATCCTTCCCAACCATTGACTACTTTAGCAGCAGCAGGTGTAGACTGACAGGTGTGTCCTGACAGTTGATTTGACTCACCTCCAGAGGAGAAAAGAAGGCAAGGAACAGTATTTGGACTCACTCTGAGGTTTTGGGTTATCTGTCTGTCTTCTCTAGACTATCCCAATCTGGCAAAACAAGCCGCATGGGGCTGCTCGGAGTGTGGTAAGAAGAATTGGGACCAATCTGCCCCTGAAACCTTGTCCCCGGGCATCCTTTGAGGTGAGTGTCCTGGGAGGGCAAGTAAAATAAAGGCTCAGAGTATGGGGGCGGAGGCTGCTTCTGTGCTGCAGACATCTTGTCAGTTGCCAGGGCTTTTGCCCACTTTCCTGGGCACTCTTTCATTTACTGAGTGTTTATAGTAGATCCTGGTCACTGTGCCTTTCTCATTTGTACAGATGTGTGACCACAACAGTCAGAGTCCCAGTTTTTGCTTATAAATTGACAGTCTTTCATCTCGTCTTTGTTGCTGCTACTAAGTGGCTCCTGTTTTCTAAGCATCCAGCAATGCATTTTATCAAAGCAGACCCAAAAGCCTTTGCTAAACCAAATCTCCGATGACTTACATCAGCGCCTTGACACACCTGTCCTGTGTGTCTCTCTACATGAGTGCTGTGACTAGAGTAGACCTGCTTTTCTTACCAGCCCTTTGAGTGGGCCACTTGGCCTCTATTTTTAGTGTTTCTCTGTGGCCTCAAATCCCCATACTCCTCTTTCTGTCCAAATATGGACATTCTCTTACTGGGCTGCTTTACAGTCTAACCTATGTCTATGGAGGCGTTAGCATCCACTCTACAGCAGAGATTCCTGTCTGGATGAGGTCTCTACCTGCTCCTCTGGTAGAAAAATGAAATGTTCATTAAAGCTAGTTGCCTCCATCAAGAACTCCTGGTGAGACACCAGCTCTGTGTTAGATGTTTAGGTGCTGAGTGTAGGAAGCAGAGGCACAAAAGCTTTATTGGCACACAGAGGAGGCAGAGGCAGAAATACATGCATGAGGGCATGGACCTAGAAAGAAAGAAAAGTGAAAGAGCAAGCTTATATATGCGTGATGATAGCTGTAGTCTCTGTAGGAACTGATTCCAGAGTTAGAAGTGGTGTCAGGGTAGAAGTGTATAGTTATGAAACAGGTGTCTAATTACTACAGTATCCAGAACTGTCAGAAGACTATGGCAAGGACCTGCATAATCAGAAGCATTAGAAACAGGGAAGTAAAGTTGTGGAGTGTGACTGTGGAAGTTTCCCCACATTTGACTAGACCATTGTCCAGATGCTGCTGAGCAAAGACATTAAGGGACACAGGCTTTTCATAGTAGTATGTATGTGTGGTATAAATAATTAGTGTATGAGACTGAAGAGATGGTCAGCAGCTGCTCTTCAGGAGAACCCAGATTTGATTCCCAGCACTCACAGCTGTCTGTAACACCAGTTCTAGAAGATCGGACACCATCTTCTGGCATCTGTAGGCACCAGGCATGAACATGGTATATAGACATACATGCAGGCAACACATTAATTGGGGAGGGGACAATTCAGGCCAGTCCCACTAAAAAGCCTGCTTTGTAACCAGGAAGTTTTCCCCTTCACTCTAGGAAGCCTTCCTCACCAAGTGCTGGACTAGCTGTCCCATTTTGTATTAATCTGAGTAGTTCTCATGTTGAGTAAATGTTAAATTTTGCTTTCCCACAGACTCTGCCCAATATCTCTGACCTGTGTTTGAGAGATGTACCTCCAGTCCCTACTCTGGCTGACATTGCCTGGATTGCTGCAGATGAAGAGGAAACATATGCTCGGGTCAGGTAGCTGAGGCAGTAGCTGCTCTGCTCCTGATGGGGAGTTTACCAGAAGTGGCAGTCAGCAAGGAGGGTGCTTATGAGGCTGAGTGGCAATAAGAATGAGAGCTGTGGGCTTAAAGAGGAGTAGGACCTGTGGGGTGAAGGAATTTAATCAGGGACATAGAGGGGCCAGATGTCTGTAGTAAGGCATATTCTTTCTCTGGCCCAGGAGCGACACGCGCCCTTTAAGACACACCTGGAAGCCCAGCCCTCTGATTGTCATACAACGTAATGCCTCAGTGCCCAATCTGCGTGGGTCTGAGGAGAGGCTCCTGGCCCTGAAGAAGCCAGCCCTGCCTGCCCTAAGCCGTACCACTGAGCTGCAGGATGAACTAAGCCACTTGCGAAGTCAGATTGCTAAAATAGTGGCAGCAGATGCAGGTAGGAACTCCACTGAGGATGCAGACTGGCAGGGTGTCATTTCCCCTGCCCCGGATTATTGAGCTAAGGATGAGAAGACTTACACACAGGGCTCTAGAGTTGACCGGAGGCCCAGATACCCTGATGTGCCTTGGGGGGTGTTTGCTAGTCATTTTTTTTTTTTTTTTTATTGATTGGTTTGATTAGGAGCAAACTCTTAAGTTAACCAGTGACAATGAGCAAATTCCTTTTCTCAGCCACAAAACCTAATAACTTGCTTCTGGGTATCTTTAAGATCACATATCCCATGAACCCGAAAAAGCTACTGATAATTCCTCACCAGCACCATGAGTCATATCCTGTTAATTTCCTATCTCCCTCTCCTTGTCCTTTCTACTGGAGAGTACTACTCTGTGCGGCTTTCTCAGTACAGTTAAGGCAGAGCCACTGGCAATAGAAGCCTGTCTTGACCAGAGTCATAGACAACCAATAGGTGGCTTCCCCTCAAGATGCTCCTAAACCTTACCACCTAGTAAAGCACATAAAAGTAATACTATGTGGGGCACTGAGATGGCTCAGTAGGTAAAGACACTTGCCACCAAGCCTAACTACCTGAGTTCCAACCCTAGGACCCACATAGTGGAACAAAAACCAGACTCCTGCAAGTTGTCCTCTGACCTACTCTGTGGTAAACCTGTATCTACCACATACAATAAGTAAATGTAATAAATTTAAAAAAAAAACAAACTTTAGAATGTGAAAAATCAGCATTTCTTAGGAATTCTGAATACAGTTGTCTCAATTAAATGGGGAAGTTTTGTCTAGAACACTTCAAGCTCATAAATAGCAAAATTCAAAATATCAAAACGCCATCACAGTTGAAAAAATGACAAGTGTGGGAAATGCAGGCCTTGCTTGGCTTTACTTTAAAACAGGTCTTCCAACCTACAGCCTGCTGTTCAAATGGGAGCATTTAGGAGTCGTGACTTCCTGTGGGATGGGGTTTCTGTCCTGGACGCTCAAAAAGCCAGTGCTTCTCTGCCTAATTGGAGCCCTCAGTGGGAAGTAGAGTGGGGAAGACTCCCTTGGGGATATCCCACCCTTGGCACTCAGAATCAGTGTGTTCTGTAGGCAGTGTTTGTGATCTCATCTCTACATTGCATCTCAACCTCCATTATGCCTATTGTTTTCTCTTTCAGCTTCGGCTTCATTAACACCAGATTTCTTATCTCCAGGAAGTTCAACCGTCTCTTCTCCTTTGCCTTGCTTTGGATCCTCATTGCACTCTACAACTTCCTTTGTCATTAGTGACATCACTGAGGAGACTGAGGTAGAGGTGCCTGAGCTCCCGACAATCCCCCTGCTTTGTTCTGCCAGCCCTGAATGTTGCAAACCAGAACACAAAACTACCTGCAGCTCATCTGAAGAGGATGACTGCATCTCTTTGTCCAAGGCCAGCAGCTTTGCAGACATGATGGGCATCTTGAAGGATTTTCACCGGATAAAACAGAGCCAAGACCTGTGAGTATCTGGTAGGAGCTCCAGTGATCTTTCAGTCACTCCTGGCTCATGATGAGTAGTCATGCTGCTGTATTCATAACCCTTTCTGACTAAGACTTAGTTTGAAGAAAAAGCAACACTTTGCATTTGTTCTATTAAGTCACCTCAGTCAAGTGATCAGACTACCGCTAAGGGGCTGGAGAAAGCTCACTGGTTAAGAGTACTTCCTCAGAGGACCCAGATTCAATCCCAGCTCCAGGGAATCTGCTGTCACCAAATACATATATGTGGGCAGAACACCAACACACGTTTAAGAAAAGACTCAGTGGCTTTTTAGTTTGCATACTGCTAGCTACCATGTTTCCTATGCCCTATCCTTCAAAACTGGGGGTTTATATGACATAGTGGTATCTCAAGCTAGTAGACTTTTAGGTGGAAGGACATTTTTATAGTTAGAGGTCTTATTTTTAAATAGATGGCTTAATGGTTAAGAGCACATAGTGCGCTTGCAAAGGACCCACATTTGACCCCCAGTATCCACAGTACAACTCTAACTCCAGCTCCAGGGGATCTTACACCTCTGGCTTCTGTAGGTGCCTTCCCTCTCATACAGTACTCTGTAATGCAAAACCTCCGAGTTCAGGGACTTGAGAATCAAGTATTTGTTTTTGGTTTTTCAACACAGGATTTCTGTGTAGCCCTGGCTGTCCTGGAACTCCTTTGTAGACTAGGCCGGCCTCTGCCTCCCAAGTGTGCATGTGCCACTACAACCCAGCTTAAGTACCAACCTTTTAAGATTCATATAAATCTGGCTGCCCATCAAAACTGCTCAGATCTAAGGCATTGGTTATTTTGTTTTGTTTTTCATACAGTCTCACTGTGAAGCTGTGGCTGGTTTTAGACTCAATTTATAGATCTTGGCCTTGAATTTTCAGAGAGCCACCCCTGTACCTCCCAAATTGTACACATCAGGCTCATCAGAGCAGAATGCCTAGGGAATGGAGCTGTGGTTGACTTTGCTCAAATCTGAGAGGATTTGGACAGGTCTAAAGTTTGCAGCAAGGCCACTGTCTGAGCCCCTCGAGCTTCCTGGTAGACAAGCTCTAGAAGTGCCTGAGAAAGCCTGCCCTTCGCAGTCACTACAGAGGAGCTTGTTCTTGGGCACCTAAATTGGAGATTGACCTTGGTGACAGGTGCCCAGAGCTGTCCTTGTTAGTGCTGGGCAAGAAACTAGTCACGCTGGTCTTCCTATCTGGCCCATAAGGGTTCTTTGACCTCTCACTTCCCCAAATTGAGCTGCTGTCTCACCTTGTTTTGGTCTGCCCTGATTCCTCTTTTTAGTCAGTGTTCTAAAACATGCCTCTTGTTCTGTAGCTCAGGCTGATCTCGAACTTGCAATCCTCTGCCTCTGCTTCACGAGTGCTGGAAATACAGACATTTGTCACCAGGTCAACTTCTATTACTTGGCTTCTTAGACCAAATTATATCCAAAATTTTGGCCAAGCCTCTCCCACATGTATCCTGGCATCTTTTCTCTGATAGAAGTAACCAAGAATGGTTCAGTTACCCAGGTCAGCAAAAGTTCAGATACGTGCTAGACCAAAGACAATCTTTTCTTTGTTGTGCTTTTGGATTTAAAGTCAATCTTGGCCTTTGTGTATTGCCTCAAAGACCAGTAAAACAACTTCAGGAAACTTAATAGAAGTTAATAGCTTCAGACAACTATTTCCAGAGCATCCAGAATGTTGTTCTGGATAAATGTCTCCCTACCCTAGAGTTCATTTTGTTCCCACAGTTCCTTATAATATAAATGTTTTGCCATGATTTTGATCTCTTAAGGAAAACAAACCCATCTCACTTAAGGGAAGATGGTGGGAGACTACCTGCAGAATGTCTTCTCCCCAGAAACTAGTAAGGTCAGAACGGTTGAGCCATCGACTGCAGACCCTCTTGAGACAAGATCTAGACTCAAACAAATGGATGGGCCTTCATTTTACCCATATTTTTGTAGCTGTGTAGGAGATGGGGTCCAGGCCAGATGTTACTGTGACTTCGGGTCTGCATGCTGAACCTTCTCGCGGAGTGGGAACATGCACTGGCAGGTGCTTCAGAGAGGTGCTGCCACGATGCAGGAAGGTGCACCCAGAGCAGCACCCAGAACAAAGCAAGTACTTCATACAAGCTCTTGTTCTGTCTCCAGGAGTCGGAGTTTACTGAAGGAAGAAGACCCTGCTGTACTTATCTCTGAGATCCTTAGGAAGAAGTTTGCCCTGAAGGAAGAAGACATCAGTAGAAAAGGAAATTGACAGCTCTGACTCTGCAAACTCAGTCTCTTGCTCCTGAACTCCTTCAATAGCTGCCTTCCTCGCTGCAGATGTCTGTCTCCATTAGAAATCTGCAAGTCTTGCTGACTAGGGCTTGAGCTGGAAGAGAAGAGCTGGATTGTGTGTTTCCTGCCTTAAACCTTGGCAGAAGCTAATGTCTGGTTTGAGATGAGGCATTTGTTACACGTAATCGGGTAGGGTGGAGCATCTCTGCTTAAGAGTTGAAGTTTGTTTTTGTCTCTGTGAAAATGGGCCCTAAATGACTTAATTCACTGTATTAGACTCCATAATTGGTCTCACTGGACACTTTGTGCACAGCTGTCACTCACTCTCAGTAGCTTCTTTGCAACAACACAGGGCTAAGAGGGAGTGGCTGTTTGTGTTCCTGTTCACAGGGAAGATCTTACGCTGCTCCATCATAGACCTACACCAGAGCCCAGCAGTCACCCTTTCCCTCCAGCTGTAGGTCAGGCCACTGGACCAGCCACTACTTGGGATCTGCAGGGAAGCCTGGCCTGTTTTTTCTTAAACATATTTTATAAAACTACAAGACCTACCCTCCAGGGCCTCATCGGTTCTACTGATTCAAACTTTTTTTCTCCCATGGACTTAAGTCTATCTAGGAAGGAGGAATGGGGAGAGAAAAAAGCATAACATCTTTTATTCTAGAACAATGACTGATTTCTCTGGATTGGGCCAAGATTTTATTTACTGCATCATGCATGACTCAGGTGCCCTCAGGGCCCTTCTCTGTGGTATGAATACTGCGTGTTTGAGTTGGAGCACTACCTGATATTAAATGAAGGACTTGGAGAAATAGTGCATCTTTTCATTGTTCATCTGAGTTTTGACCACAGCAGCTTTTGGTGGGGAGGGCGCCTGTAATTCTAAGGTATATGAACTTTTTTGTTTTTTGAGACAAGGTTTCTCTGTGTAACAACCCTGGCTGTCCTGGACTCACTCCGTAGGCTACAAGATCTCAGAGATCCACCTTCCTCTGCCTCCCAAGTGCTGGGGTTAAAGACGAGCACTATTGCTGCCCAGCTGATGTGAACTTTATGCTGTGACCCTTTAGTACAGTTCTCTTGTTGTGACCCCAACCATAAAAATCTTGTTGCTACTTTAGAACTCTAATTTTGCTACCGTTATGAATCACAATGTACTTATCTGTCAAGAACCCCTGCCCTAGGAGAAAATTTCCTGGGGCTGGAGAAATTATCCAGAAGTTAAGATTAGCAATCCTCTGAAGGACAAGGGTTTGAGTCCCAGCACCCACATGGCTGTTCATAATCATTTGTTCCTCCAGACCCAGGGATCTGACACACTCTTCTGGTCTCATGGGTACCAGGCACACATGAGGTACACACCCATACATCTTGTTCTGAGGGGTTTTGTTCCAAAACTCATAAAAGCAATTCCACTTGATAAATTAATGTGGTTTGCATCAACTGCCACATAAACAGTGGTGCTTTGGAGAGAATATAGGCAAAATCAGATTTGAATGGTTGAATTCAGGGCAGTGACAACACCTATTCAAAAGCTGACGTGGGCTGGCAAGATGGCTTAGTGGGTAAAAGTGCTTGCACTCAAGCCTGATGACCTGAGTTTGGAATCTACACGAAGGAGAAATCATTCCTGGAGGTTGTGCTCTGCTCTGGCACATGTGCACTCGCACTCACTCACAACGTTGCCTTTTCTTTCTGAGCAGAACGGCATCCTAGCCCAGGCTGGTCCAGTACTCCTTGCGTAGTTTTTGTTTTAATTACCACCAGAGCCAGCTTTCTAGACATTAACCTTAAGTCCGTTTTGCAAAGGGAACTTCCCCCTTCCCTCACAGATTCTGGGAGGGAAAGATAAAGCAAACAACTTTTTTTAAAGATGTATTTATTTAATGTATGTATGAGTGCTCTATCTGCATGTTCACCTGCATGCCAGAGGGGACATCAGATCACATTATTGATGGTTGTGATCTACCTTGTGGGTGCTGGGAATTGAACTTGGAACTTCAGGAAGAGCAGTCAGTGCTCCTAACCACTGAGCCATCTCTCTAGCCCACAAACAACTTTCTAAAAATTTATTTCATTTTGCCTGTATGCCTGTGCACCATGTGTGTGCCGTGTGCCTGGTGCCTGCAGAGGTGGAAGAGGCATCAGATCCCGGGGAACTGGAGCTCCAGGCAGCTGTGAGCTGACACGTGGGTGCTGGGAACTGAACCTGGGTCCTCCACAAGAGCAGACAGTGCTCTCAACAGCTGAGCCAAGCATAGATGAATAACGTATAGATAACAATTTAAAACAAGATCATCTACCATATGCTCTCCCCCACCACGAGTGCCACACACCTGGATTGGGGACATAGGCATTTCTTAAAATGCAGTTGGGAATAAGGGTCCCACATTCATGCTTGAGTGATCCAAAGATAAAAAGAGCGCACCTCTATCCATAACAATCAAAAGCTGTAAGGCCTCTGGAAGGGCAGAGTAGCAGCTATGTAAACTGGTTTCAGTGGTTAGTCATGTCCTGCTGTCTCCGTCCTCATCACATTCATTCATGGAATGTCCCAATTACCTGAGGGGAAGTATGCCAAAAGGAAACTGTTCCAAAATGACAACTGCTTCATCCCACCTGGCCTCTCCTAAACCCTCATCTCTACCCAGCCCCCTCCCCCACTTTGTTCCATCTCTGCGATTTCAAGATACACTCACCCAAACATTACAGCTAATGCTTGATAACCTGATTGCCTTCTGAGTCCTGGGTAAAGAGCAGGTGTGGCTGCAGATTTGACCCAGCAGGCCCATCTTGGCACTGAGCCTGAGGCCTGTCAGCAAACTGCCCCAGGCCTTGATTCTTAGCATTGGTTACATCTTGGAAAGGCATTTTAGTGTTGTGGGCAATGACCTGCTGGCCTTGGGAATCCTCAGTGAAAAGCTGACTCCAGGAGTCCTTGTCATTCCTTTCACTGTCCCAGGAAAATACAGAAAGAGGACGAGGGCTTTTTGTCACCGATAGTGGTTTGTTCCTACTCAAGGACCCAAACCTGTAGGTTTGAAGATGCACAGAAGCCGGCCTGTTTTCCTTGGCAGGCCCCCTCTTCCCCACTTCAGCTTCATCCAAGGGTTGATGGCATTTACCCCAAGATGGTCTGATATGGCTTCCCATGCCTGGACAGTTTGTCTCGGATCCATGAAGCCATTCGCTTTTCCTCTTGGCTTCCTTTTGATCCGTCAGATAAGAACGTTCCAAATACTGGGAGAAGGAAGGTGCCAGGGAGGCTTTACCCTCTCCAGTGCCCATCAGGACATCAGGCTGGGGCAAAGATACCATAGTCAAAGACGGTGTTTCCAAACTGTGGCAGCTAGAAATCCAGGGAGACTGAGGAGAATGTCCAGCTTCCTGGATGTTGGTGGGAGTGGACGTGGCCAAAGGTGATACCAAGCAATCATCCCCCAATTGCTGGACCGAACAGTCTAGCTGAGTTCTCTTGCGCTCTTTGTTGATCTGATTTTCTTCAAGAGAGAAAATGTTCCTCTGCTTACCACCATTTGCCATTCCTAATGAAACGATAAATCATTACACTACGAAAACTGCAGGATTTTGTTGGATTTTTGAAAACCAGTATCAGCTACTATTACTACCATGTACAGGGGTCTAGCCTCTTGAAAGAACTTCATGACTAAGAGGCCTGTTTTCAGTCTTGGGGCTCTGCTGAATGCTCTAGAACTTCTGAAATGCTTCTAGAATTTCCAGACTCAAATATGTGGAAGCTTCCAGTGACCCACCCTCTACCTGATATGTCAAATAAGGTTTGTAGTCAGACCATAGCCGGCTTCTCCAGTTTGGGTTTTATTATGTGGTTTTTTAACACACAGCAGAACAGTTTTGCTTCTGTTTTATTTACTATGGTTTTTACTAAACAATGATCCTGCTCTAGCTAACCACATACCTAAATAATATCCTTGAGGAAATGTTCTCAAACATTTGTTTTGTAAGGACATAAAAATCATATTAACTAACTATAAAACTCTAAAATTTTCTGGTGATTATAAAAATAAATGTAGTTTCTCCACAAGTCAGCCATTTCATGGGAAACTCAATGAAGTACTAGAATGCTGAACCAGTTAGAAACTGAAAACAAACTAGTGTCTAGCCTATCCATTTCATTAAGTGTGGGGTGGATCCTGTTTTCCCTTAAGGATGAGTGAAACAGGATTCCCAATCCACTCAACTTCTATCAAGATAGAATTTTTAAAAGCAGAATGGTAGGTTCTTTTTATTTTTTCCTTCTCTAACAAGTTACACTGTGGAAACTGTTCTGTGAGAATCTTCACTTTTATTAAGAATTCAATATTCAACAGAGTATATAAAATACACCCAGATTTTGTAACTGGGAAAAGTGGTTTTTGGAGTGAGTTTCTGGGTGGGGACATTTCCCTTGTTAAATAAAACAAAGGTGTTTATGTTTTGTTTGGAGGATGAAGAACAGTGCACACAGTAAGTTTTCACAGAGCAATCATGAGCGACCTGAGAGTGGGAGCACTCGTCCTGGGGCCACCGAACTGGCTCTGTATGCTCCCACCTGCTCTGAGACAGCTCTCAAGTATGCCCTTCCTCATTGCTCAATTGAGGAACACAAATACCTAAAATTAGACGGAGCAGAACAGAACAGCAAAACTCAAGTATAAACACATGTACAATATACTGCTTTTCCAAAGCTACAGCTACAGCTCATAAATGTTCTCACACAGATACATGGACACACTTGTTCTGCTCCTCAAATAAGGAAATATTTCTAGGTGTGTCACCATACCTGGTTGTAAGGTGACAAAGGATGTAATACTGGTCTGCCGAGTGCCTCTTCTTTGAGTAAAAGAAATACTACGTTTTCTCTCTCCAGGAAGCAATGTCAGCATTTTGGCGCCTGGTTTCATTAAATGTGTCTGAGGGAGAAAAAGAATTGACTCTGTTACTCTAATCATCAGTGACTCTTGGAAGCACTCGTTCCTCCCTGGGGGTAAACTCATACCCTACTTTGTACAGACATCACCTCCCACTGCTTCCTGCCATCTTGATGAGTCCTTACGCCAGGAATCACATTTTCCAACTAGCCCAGTCTTTCCAGTTTCCTAAAGTTATTTCAGTAAGGCTGACAAGAGTATTTATCAAAGAATCCAAAGATGAAGCATTCTCCTTTAGATTTAGAAATAATTCTGCACCAGCATCAATACATTTTCAATAGTTTTCAAATATTAACATGGCCACAGAACCACATGGGTTGGGTTCAAATCATTCTAACATACATACCTTTATGGTAAAAGTCCTGAAGAAACTCAGAATAGAAGAAACATAAATTATGTTTATTTTTCTTCTTAAACATAAAGATAGCATATGTTACATGAGAAAAAACTTCAAGCATTTCCACTAAAATCAGGAACAAGCCAAAGGTGTCTTCTTTCTCTGCTCTTAACCAATGCCAACAGTCTTAGCTGGAACAGTAAGAGAAGCAGATGGAAGGGATACAAATACGAAAAAGTCAAAGCATCCCTAATTGTAAATGAAATGACTATATACATAGAGACCCTACACACTACCAGAAAACTCTAGGAACTGATAAACATTTTCAGCAAGGTGGTAAGATAAAACATTAGCATACATACATCTGTAGCCTTTCTATATATCAATAACAAAAATACCAAGGAAGAAATCACATTCAAAATTGCCAGAAAAAAGAATACCTTGGGATAAACTTAACCAAATAAATGAATGTTCTCCATAATTATAATGGAAACTTTAATAAAACACTCAGAGAAATTGAAGACAATGGAAGATGAAAAGATCTCCCATGTTCATTGAAGAATTAATATCGTGAAAATGGTTATCCTAACTGTGGTCATTAATATTGTCAATCTGCCAGGAATTTGGGGGGGGGTTATTATTTTCTTTGTTTTTCGAGACAGGGATTCTCTGGGTAGCCTTGGCTGTCCTGGACTACTTTTGTAGACCAGGCTGGCCTCAAATTCAGAGATCCTCCTGCCTCTGCTCTCAGAGTGCTGGGATTACAGGTGTGTGGCATCATGCCAGAGGCTTAATTTGACAGGACTTTAAAAGTCACCTAGGAGACAAAGCTCTGGGCACACCAGGAAAGGATTATCCAGATTATCTAGATTAGGTTAGCTCTGGCCTGCACAGGATTATCCTAACTGAGCTGGGAAGACTCACTCAAAGTAGGCGGCAGCAAGGACAAAGGGAAAGCTAGCTGCGCCACAGCGGTCACGGTCGCTTACTAACTGCAGATTCGAGGTGGACAACCGCCCCAAGACGCTACTGCCAGGACGTCACTGCCACAGTGTACTGTCCCCTCAAACGGTAAGCCAAATGAACCCAGGACGCACCTGGTCTATGAAGTGAGCCCAGGACAGCCAAAACTACAGAGAACCAAACCCTGTCTTAAAAACCTAACAAAAACACCAACAACGTTCTTCACAGAAGGAGAGAAAAACAACCTTAAGATTCACTTAGAAGCACTAAGCCTTGGGCAGCAAAGCAGCCCTGAGCGAAAAGAACACAGGAGGTCTCACCACACCAGATTCCAAGTTACATGTCAAAGCACAGTAATAAATACGGCGTGGTATTTGCACAAAAACACAAATGCAGATTAATAGACCAGAATCAAAGACCCAACATCAACCTATGCAGCTACAGCCACCAGATTTTTTAATAAAGATGCCAGAAAGTACTAACTGGAGAAAAGATAACCTTTTGAACAAATGGTAAAACAATGACTTAGGCCCCTGTCTCTCAACACAAACCAGTTCCAAATGATCAAAGGTCTTAATATAAGAGCTGAAAATACTTCAACATACAGACAGAGATGGGGACTTTCTGAGTGTGACTCCAGTTGTTCAGAATATAAAATCAATTAAACAATTGGGACCCAATGAAATTAAAAAGCTTCTGTATAGTGAAGAAACAGTTGAATGAGACAGTCTACAGGAAAGGAGAAAAAAATCTGCCATCTATATGTATTTGACTATATATATATATATATATATATATATATATATATATATATATATGAAAAAGAGTTAATATGTATAATGTACCAAGAGGTCCAATGTCTAAACAATAAGAAAATAAGCCCGATCAAGAGGAGCTGTAGAGATAGCTCTGCAGTTAAGAATATATACTGCTCTTGCAGAGGACCAGAAATTGTTTGCCATACCAGGCAGCCTGCAACGTCACTCCTGTAGCTTCTGTGGGTATCTGCACTCACATGCACATAGCCACACAGACTTTAATCCCAGCACCTGAGAGGCAGAGGCAGCAGAGAATCTCTGTCAGGGGCTAGCATAGTCTACACAGTGAGCTCCAAGACAGGACTATCGAGACCTTCTGCCTCAAAAATAAATTTAAAATGTGTGAAGGAACTGAATAGAATTCTAAAATGAAGAAATGTGAGTTGTCAATAAATATTTTGTCCTTAGTCACGAGGGCAATGCAAATTAAACCTACTCTGAGCTGGGCTGATGATGTGGGGCAGGAAGACTGCCACAGCGGCCGGTCAGCTCCAGCAGGAGCCCTCGGTAGAGGGCACCATGTCTCCGTGCAGTGTGCTGCTGAGCAGGACTGGAAGCGGTTCCCCCAGCCTCGGGACCTGCGCCTGTCCTTGGTGGGAGAAGTGGACGAGCCAGCAGAACTCACTCAGTGAAGTCTGATGCAGAGCCTGGTCCTCAAGCATGGCTGCCAAGAGGAGCTGGGTGATGTCCTTATCGACCTGGCAGCATTAGCAGCAGGTTGTCATGTGGATCAGCCTCCAGCAGTAATCTCCAAAACGGACACCAACTACAAACCTTACCCAGTCCATCTGTCCTGAGGTTCTGCCTGCAAGTACACAGACTTGTCCCCTGGGGCCATCTCTGAAAACCAGGCTATGCTACAGACCCTGCCTCCGGGTTGAGAAACTAGGCCCCTCTGCCTACACACACAGTCTCGATAGCAGACATGGGCTTGTTCTAGTCTGGTCTTGTTAAATTATGTCTGTGGGCCCAGAGTGTTTTCTCTCTCTCAATAAAATGGCTTAAGGCAAAAAAACAAATAACAACACCAACAAAACCCTACTCTGAGATTCCACCCAACCCTTGTCAGAATGACTATCAAGGAAATAAACAAGGAGTTTGTCTTAGTTAGGGTTTCTATTGCTGCAACAAAACACCATGACCAAAAAGCAAGTTGGGGAGAAAAGGGTTTTTTTTTTTTTTTTTTGTTTTGGCTTATGCTTCCACATTGCCCTTCACCACCAAAGGAAATCTGGTCAGGAAATCAAGCAGGGCAGGAACCTGGAGGCAGGAGCTGATTTAGAGGTCACAGAGGAGTGCTGCTTACTGGCTTGTTCAGCCTGCTTTCTTCTTTCTTCTCCTTTTTTTTTTTTTTTTGGGGGGGGTGTTTTGTATTGTTTTTCAACAGGATTTCTGTGTGTAGTTCTGGTAGTTCTGGCTTCCTGAAATTCATTCACTCTGTAGACCAGGCTGGCCTCGAACTCAGAGATCCACCTGCCTCTGCCTCCAGAGTGCTGGGATTAAAGGTGTGCACCACCACCACCTGGCTCAACCTGCTTTCTTACAGAATCCAGGACCACCAGCCCAGGGATGGGGCCACCCACAACAGGCTGGGCCCTTCTCCATTCATCACAAATAAGAAAATCCCTTACAGATGGATCTGATGGAGGCATTTTCAAGTGGTTAAAACGAGATTGTAGAGATTATATCTTTCAATTACACACCAGAAAACTGCAGCAAAGATAAACTTAAAAAGCAGATTTTTTTGCCAGGTATGGTGGAACACACCTCTAATCCCAGCCTTAGGAGGGCAGAGGCAGGTGAATGTCTCCAAATTCAAGATCAGACTGGTCGATATAGCGAGTTCAAGGCCAACCTAGGCTACATACAAACCAAACATTTAAAAGTGCAGACAACGCAAACTGGAGAGACATCAGCAGTTAATACTAGCTGTTCTTCAAGAGAGCCTGCACATACATGATTGTCACTACTGCCTGCAGCTCCAGTCCCAGGGACCCAATGTCTTCTGGCCTCTATCAGTACACAAGTGGTACACAGATAAGCATGCTAGCAAACACTCATACACATAAACGTTAAAATTAGAAAACAAAAATAACCCACCCCACAAAAACCCAAAATACCATGAACAGCAAGCAGTGAAGAACTGGGAAAAGAGGAGGAAACCACAGCAGGCTTCCCAAGCTTTCTGCTTGGAGCCACTCTCCAGGTCAATGTGTATCCATCATGAGCACTGCAGTCTTCATGAACTAAGTCATTATTAGGTTAGGACTTAAGGAAGCTGAGGTAGGATTTGCAGGTCAGAAATGACTTCCAGACATCTGCAGAGATCCCTTTAGTCTTCTGCTCAAGTTCACTTGTATTAGGGAAAAGGGCCAGCTGGAATTGCAGTCTGAATGAATGATTCCCAGAGCTCACAGAAGGCTAAGACACCGGAGTTCCCACAACCCTGGTGAGACGATCAATCATGAGTTTCAGTGTCATATGTTTTCCTGCTAATGTGACCACTACATTTTTCCATGAAAGAGGGAGGTCCTTATGGCTTTACTTGGAATTTGAATTTGGGAAAAATTCTGTGAATATCTTGACCTATAACCTGAATCCCAAAACTAAAATGCCATGGATTTTTGACTTGCACCCTAGAAATCCTCATTCTTAGACCCGAGCCAGCACATGATAAGAAGCCCACACCGACATATGGTCTTTCAACTTTATGGGAACAGAGCTTAAACATGTGAAATACTGTGAATGATACTTGAGCATCTATCTGTATGCAAGATATTAAGATACTCTGCCCTGGTAAAGTTTAAGCTTGGAAGAGAAAGCAGACTATTAATAAATAGTTACTATATATATATATGCTAAAT